CTGTAGAACAAGAAGCACGTGCTTTTCTGCAGATTCAGTTGAAAGCCATTTTCCTCTGCCCATTTGGAAAGTTCGTTTAAGCCAAGTTGTGCCTGCCACTCGCACGCTGCGAGATTGCCGGACTTAAAACCGATCTGCACGTCGTCGAAATACGTGCAATAAAACATATTGCGTGGAATGTAAGAATACAAGGTGTTCATTTTTACAATAAAAAGTGTGCTACTCGGGACACAACCTTGTGGCACTTCATTCTCCTGGACAAACTCTGAGAGAATACATTCCCCACCCACACACGGAAAGTGCAATTGGACAAATAGCTTTCGATTATGGTTTGCATGCTACCTCGGATACCTAAGCGTAAGAGGTCTCGCAGTAGGCCAAACCGCCCCGTTGTGTCACATGCCTTTTCTATATCTAGGAAAGAAAAAAATTGTTTATGAACAAAAGCATTGCGGATTCGTACCTCGATGTGTAGCAGATGATTGGTGGTGGTATGGGGCCAGTAGATTGTTTCAAGTAAATGTAAAATCCAGTGGTTAATCATTTTCAAAAAGTTTACAAAGGCAGCTAGTGAGTGCGAATGGTCTGTAGCTTTTAACGGATGATGGATCCTTGCCTTTCTTTAAAATAGAAATAATAATGGTTTCTTTCCAGGTAGAATGAACCTTGCCGGAAGACCAAATTGCATTATACAAGAAGCGCTTTTTGTGATTCAGAGGGCAGGTGTTTTAGCATTTCATATAACACTCGGTCAGAGCCTGGGGCGGATTTATTGCAGCAGTTTAGCAATGCCTGGAACTCGGCAAAGACGGGTTTCTTGTATGGTTCATGTTTTGTGGAAGTGCGCTGTAGTTTTTGTTTTTGGATTATTGCTTTGTATCGCTGGAACGATGTGGTATAGTGCGACGAGCTGGAGACCTGTTCGAAGTGCGCCCCAAGAGAGTTCACCCAGTCCTCCAAACTGTGGCCTTGTGAGTTCACAAGAGGAAGTGAATGAGATGGCTGTCCGACTAACTTACCTACCATGTTCCAGACTCTCACCTCCTGTGTAATATGAATTGATGGCAGATAAAAACTTATGCCAGCTTTCCTTTCTTGCCTGTCTGCGCGTTCTTCTGCCTTGGGATTTTATGTTCTTAAAAATTTTCAAGGTTCTCAGTGGTCGGTGAGTTCCGAAGCAACCTCCAAGCTTTATTTTGCTTTTCTCTAGCATTAGGAGAATCATTGTTCCACCAAGAGACACATCATTTAATGGACAGCCCAGTTCGTGGGATACACTTTGTGGCAGAATCAATCAAAAATTTTGCGAAGTAGTCGACAACTGCATCTAAGCTTAGGGCACTCATATCACTCCAGCTTAAAAGTGCATATTTTTTTTTCTTACACTGTTCCCAATCTGCTTTCTCAACCTGCCACTTAGGAGCCTGTAGAAAACATTCATTTCCTTTTGGTACGCACAGAGCTGTTGGAAAGTGGTCACTTCCATAGGGATTCACAATAACTTTCAGATTAAGTAGGGGAATAAGAGTTGTAGATGTAATGCTGAGGTCTATAGCTGAGTACATTTGGTTTGCGAGATAATAGTACGTTGGTTCTTTCCTTTAAACAGACATGCACCAAAACAGAACAAAAAACCGTTCAATTAGACGACCTTGCACATCATAGTAAGGATGACCCTATACACTGCTATGTGCGTTCAGGTCCCCAAGGACCAGATAAGGTTCTGGCAGTTCCATATATTAGGGACTGGAATTAATCTTTTTCAAGGTGTACTGTGGAGGTATGTAAAAAGAGCAGATGGTGAAGAGTTTGTTCAAAATAACTCCTCGAACAGCCATTGTCTCAAGGAATGTTTGTAGTGGTCGGTGTGTACATGCTACGCCTTGATTAACTATAATGGCCACACCACCGGATGACACCACAGAATTGTCCTGTTCCTTTCTGAACACAATGGCATAAAAAATTGGTGTTCTTGGATTTTAAGTGTGCTTCTTGTACGAACAGCACTTTTGGTGAGTATTTCTGTAAAAGTTCTTGGACATCGTCAAGGTTCCCGAGAAGGCCCCCTGACGTTCCACAGTATAATTTGTGTGTTCATGATGAAAGCAATGTAGCGCTGTGTGTACGAAAAGAGAGCGGCTGTTTAGGCGGAAAGTTAGAATTCAAGTAACAGGGCCATCACCCGGCACTATTATTTGCTTTTTTGTTGTCTTTGCATGCCCTAAAGAGCCCCGCCGTTCTTTTGGCACCAGGGGTACCGCTGTGTCCATTGCCTCCTCGGAGGCACTGGATGCCCCCACGTGTGAGCTGGTTGTTCGAAGTTTAGGCCTCGCTTGGCGAGGTGAGGCCTTGAGACCTGAAGACCCTGGAGCCTCCGATCTCTGTTTGTGAGTAGGCAGAGAAGACTGACCTACTTGTTGAGAAGACTGACCTACTATAGAATGGGGAAACCCTTCTTCTTTCTTTTTTTAAAAGAGATATTCTCCTTCACCTTCAATGTGATGATCTCTTTTTTTTTTCTTTTTTCCAAAACAAAAACAACCACGAATATGCGGCATGAATCACAGTTGACACAGTGCGCCGGTTATTTGCAGGTGTCCGCGAGGTGTGGCCTGAAACTCCACATTGTGCACAAGTTTGCCAGGCATGACAACTTTGCGAGCCGTGGCCATATCTCTGACATTAGAAGCACCGTCGAAGATTATGTATGTATGGTCGAACACGGAGCTTTGTGTAACCTGCTGCAAGTGTCTCAGGAAGGATGCTGCAGCCAAAGGTAATAATTACATGTTTTGTTGGAAGATCTTTGTCATCTCGCTTTATCTTAATTCTTTGAACATTGATTACATTCTCTTCTTTTCAGCCGTCAAGAAGTTCGGCATCTGTCAAGTCAACTCCTCTGACACAACTCCTCGGACAGTGTTCATCGAACGATGTGCTGATAAAGCGATGGGGACATCCCCAAAAGTCTTCAAGTTGAATAGCTTTCATATTGCTCCTTCTCTCGGACTTCAATGAGGAGGTCTCCACAGGCCATTTTCGTTGCTTTGTAACCTGTTACAAGTATGTCTATTAGGCACCTTGAAACTAGGAACAGGGAAAGTTTTCTGACAAGTTTTGCTGGTGTGTCACTATGGATAACGTGGTAGCGTGGAAAGTTGTCTTTGTTTAGTCAAAAAAGTTGAAAACTTGCTTGGATGCGTACCCTCTTCAGGGAGCGATCAATGGAGTTGGAAGTTTTGTGCCATAAAATATGAATTGTGTTCAGTAGCGGTGGCAGCCACCCACCAACGACCCCAACAAAGAAACGCTGTAAGACATGAAGAAATTGCTTGCATATGTCCGCTGTAAACCACCACTATAACCTGATGTGATGCATCCCAAGGTGGGGTAAACACACGAGGGTAACCCTTGCCGCCAGGAAGAACCAGAAGTAAACAGAAGAGAGGAGTAGGCAGGAGAGACGAAGAGTGAGAGATAAAGACGAAGATGTAGGGAGAAAGAGATAGAAAAAGGCGACTGCCGATTTCAGGGGTGCAGTCGACGTGAAGCCGGAGCCAAAAGGGTGTGTTAGAGGGGGAGGCCTTAAAGCTCCAGTCACCCGAAGTCAGCTCAACCCCCAGGATCCCCTTTTCCCCGGACACTGCAAAGCCACGCACGGCTAGGCGTAAGAAAAAGTTAACCCCTCCCCCCCGTTGGCTCGGGTCTGTGGTGTTGCCACACACCAAGCGTTTGCTTGTGCATACGCGCCTGCAGGGGCTGAATTTTGATTATAGCAAGCTTAAAACAAGAGTGCAAGTGTTCTGTGTTAAAATAATAGAAATGACAGTATTGAGTCACCATGCTGAGTACCATCATACTGCTTATACTTCTCAGCCAACAATATTTAGAATCTGCATTCTTTACAGAGAGGTTTACAAGCAAAATTTCTTTGCCCAATTTTTGTTTTACTATATTCAGCGTACTGCCATCAAAAGAAATCCTAATTAAATCAAATACTAAGATAACAGAAAACAGCCTTAAAGTCTCATTCAATACCAATTACTTTCTTTCTTACAAACGAAGTCGCATTTTTTTAAAACCAATAACTATAACTACCTATGGTCAATAACTTATAAAATGGCAAATCATTAATATACTAAAAAGTCATCCCCAAGTACTAACTTTGATAATGCATGCTTCTTCCATATCTTTCAGAAAAAAGGCGAAGATGTGCTTCTTAGAGCACATATAGTTATTGAAGGCTTGAGGCGACTTAGTTATGTCATTTTCAGATATCTGTATGCATAAAGTGTTATTTATGTACCTACTCTTGTGACTATTCATGTACAAAAGCCAGTATTTGTGCTCCCAAATGAAACACTGGTGTCTGCGCCACTATCGCGCTCTTAATCTCTTTTGCTTATTTGCTTTGCAATAATACGTATACGTAATCTAATGCATTTTCGAAGCCTTGTAATTTTTCTTTTGTATAGGCTTTCTCCTAGTTCTTCGCAATGTGATAGTCTCCTTGTGTGTTTTTTTTTGCTAATGCAGTTGCTCTGTGTGAAGAAATTATGGTGTGGTGCTAGAGGCCTCGTTAGCTGACTTGTCAAATAAATTAATAAATTTAAAAATTAATTGAAAATAGGAGATTGAAACATTGCAAAAATTGGACAAAATGGGGTATCTATTCAATGATAACATGTTTTAACAAAACCCCAATATAACTCCTGCAAACTTGCTTCCGTCGTAGTTATACGCCTCTAACTTGGTTTGTACCACTCCAACCAACAGACTAGTCAACAAGTATTATTACAATTCTGTGTTCACATGCTTACATAAACATGGTCATTCACTCTCAATCTCTCTACAGTACGTCAAATAGACAAGTGTTCTCATGAAAGCTATAGTTAAAGTTGAAGCAAATGCAAACATTCCAAAACAACATATCACAACAAAACTACTGCACTACTGTACTAAACCCACCAACCCAAAATAAAAATCAACAGCAAACTTACTGAAAGTTGACCTTGTCTACTTGAAATTTCGTCTCAAATATTCCTGAGGTTAACACTCGGCACCGCAGAATGTCCTAGAAAATTTTGAAGAAGCAAATAATTATCAGACCCCCAATCATATACACACAAACTTACCTGTTCATTTGGAGTATAATCTGGTTGCTTAATTGTAGCCACTCTGTCCAGAAAACTGCAGGGAAATCAAACTTAATGAATGCCAGTGATAACATTTGACTCCCTATAGCTACGTCCCACCTAACATGACTATTGCCTTAACACTTGACATGCTATGTGCCCAATTATGTACACCCCTCATTTCTGTCATTTGTATGAACTAGGGGCTAAGAAAGAATGAGATACATAGAGCTTGCATGAATAGAACCTCCTTCAAAATAAATTTGTCTTTATTCAATGCACTTTTTAATGCACTGACATATATGACCACTTTTTTGAAAACGCTATAACGTTGGACTAGCCATTCGACGTGCCGCTTCCTGCGAGCCATGTGAAAACTGATTTTCTTTTTTATAAATGGACACAACAAAAAAATGAATTTACTCTTTATTTCAAGCCTGGGATATCATTCTACTTATTTCAGAGCATCAATGACTTTAAGATAAGTAGATATCTAATTACAACTTATTTAAGATTAGTTACTATAATGCTCATAAATTATATATGACATTTTCATTATAGTCACTTATTGAGTGCCTTGAAATAATGTATCAATTTGACACATTTACAGAAAGTTCTTCATGGGTGGTGTCTGAAAGATTTAATAGAAGAAAAAGCTACAGTCGGGCTGCCACATATCCCTCCACTTATGCACTCGCAATGCAATATATTAAGTAATAAAACCTCAAAATTCAGAAGCACAAATGTGGCATCAGTGCTCTGGAATTTGTTTCAACATCTGTGCTTTAAAAAGGCAAGAACTTAAAAGAGAATATAAGTATTTGCTATCAACATGAATAAAAATCATCTGTGCTGTTTTCGCTTCCGTCGCACAATATTCATCAAAATATCAGCGGACGTGGCGGTACTTCATTGACTTGATAGGTTATTGACTCGATGGCCTTCAACACCGTCCGTGTGGCAGCTCGCGCTTGACAGTTGAGTCAATAGACCATCGGTTAAATGGTTTTCCAAATGCTTGTTAGACACCGGTGTTTCCCGCGAGTAGACTCACTTGAATTCAAATTGGGCAATGAACGAGTCTGAGCGAGTCTGGGTGAGTAATATGGCCAGATTAAGACCAAGTAAGTTAGGCTGAGGAAAAATGTTAGTGAGTCTGCATGCGAGCAAGTCCAGTGAGCCCTAAGCACAAATTACATTTCTCGAGTAAGTCTGAGTAAGCTCCACATTTTTTGCTGGCCTATGGTCCTGATTACACATCTTCAACATAACTATCAGCCTAATATTGGCTTACATTTACACTCAAGCCTATTCACAAATATCCTAACGTACTATAGTTTATATGCCATCTTAATATTTATTGATCAGAGGCGTGAGGAGGGGGGAGGGGGTGCCACACCTGCCATGGTGGTCTAGTGGCTAAGGCACTCAGCTGCTTACCCACAGGTCGCGGGATCGAATCCCTGCTGCGGCGGCCGCATTTTTCATGGAGGCGATAATACTTAAGGCTCTTGTGCTTTGATTTAGGCGCAAGTTAAAGAACCCTAGGTGGTCGAAATTTACAGAGCCCTCCACTTTCATGAGAAGTTCTTGATAAAAGTATCTGGTGCAAGTCATGTATTTCACAAAAATGCCCTTACTGGATTTGAAACTACTAATAAATAACTTGTGCTTGAAGGTACAAGATAAGGTGCATTGTAGAGCACCAATTATGCAAGATACTGATATCAAAGAGCATGAAAACCATGATCAGAAAAGCAAATTTTAAGCTAACAAACTCAGGACTAGACTCACTCAGGCTCAGGCCAAGCCACGAGTCTGAGAGAGTCTGGCTGAGTAATATGTTGGAGAGTTTAAATCGAGTCCAATAGAGAAAAGGTTCCGCTAGTGTGTCCTAAGTGATTCCTGTTGAGGAAAAGTTTGCCGAGTGCGAGTACGAGCAAGCCCTCACAGCAAGATGCATTTTTTTAGTGAGCCTAATGAGCTTCAAATTTTTTGCCACACCATAGTTAGAGTGAACTACACATGAACCTTGTTGGTCACGCTTCATTTGCACGACATTTATTCTACTTTTATTCTGTTTTTAACAAAACCAAAAACGTAAGAGCCCCGGCAATATTGGCTTTAACCAAAAAATAGTTGGTTTTTGTGAGGCACAAAACTTGAAAGCATCATAAAAGGCGTTTGGTTTAAAATGTCGAAGAAGTTGTGGAAATTTAGGGTCGAGTGAAAAAAACAGAGAACGTGATTGCGTCACCTAATACATGTGAAAGAAGAGAGAGTTTTGGAAGCTATGCAATGTTAAAGGATGAAAAGCCAACTAAGAACAATCACATCCTTTTTCAACCAAATGCAAATAAGACCTGTTTTGTTGAAAGAAATTTACTCTGTTGTAACTTCATCTTCTCAGTTCCAGCCAATTTAGTTTGAAATAACACAAGGATATGGGCACCAATTACCTTGCTCATGGTGGGTTCGAAGCAAAAGCAGAGTAGCAATGCATGCATGAAGATTCTAACGGATTGTGTCATTAAACAGCCCCACTGCTTCAGACGTCCCTACAGACTAGGAAAAAAATAGACTACAAATATTTCTGTCACACAACTATCACTTCATCTTCTCAGTTCCAGCCAATTTAGTTTGAAATAACACAAGGATATGGGCACCAATTACCTTGCTCATGGTGGGTTCGAAGCAAAAGCAGAGTAGCAATGCATGCATGAAGATTCTAACGGATTGTGTCATTAAACAGCCCCACTGCTTCAGACGTCCCTACAGACTAGGAAAAAAATAGACTACAAATATTTCTGTCACACAACTATCCCCGTGATCAGACAAGCTGATGTTTCCTTTTTTGAAAACTCAGCTCCCCACTTTGCAATGAAGAATGGTATGCCACGCTGACAGCATGCACACCGTTCGCTACAGGGAAGTGCTGGCACCACTGTGATAACTCGAGAGAAGTACACAAGGCAGATGACGATTATGGCTGTGCGGCAGACATACTCCCCAAGGGCTAAATTATTGCTTAGGAGTGTACACTACATTTGTGTATTACATAAAACTTTTTTATAAAGTTTTTGCACTGTAATATGGTAGTAGAGCTGATCCGCTTAGTTGTTGAAACTGCCGCTATATATATATATACCTTCTCCTATTCACAGTGAACTTTTGTGTAATGGTGGTATGTAAACCGGTTATGTGCCACCGGTTCAAAAGTTACGTCATGGTCAGCTTCGGTGGTACAGTCAGAGATACAGTTCGATGGGCAGGCTGCTCGGCTGCCGATTCAAAAGTCGCGGTTTCAACCCCAGTCACAGCGGTTACACTTCAATAGAGGCAATATGCTAGAGGTCCTAGTACCGTGTGCGATGACAGTGCCCGTATAAGAGCTAGAGATGGTCAAAATTTCCAGAGCCCTCCACTACAGTGTCCCTCACAATGAGGAAGACATGGTCACCATCCATGGCCGAACCAGGTTTATTCAGCAGCAGATGCAGTGCTAAGCAGTTCCGTTTCTGCTCTGGATATGGGCTGCTTGCATGCCTTCAGAACTGCATGGATGCTACGATCATGTCTTCAGCAACCATGGTTTTGTTCTTAGCGGATACGGTGCTCAGTAGCTTCACTTTGACTGGCCAGCGCGCATAATGTCACGAAACTCAACCAGCTGTTGATGAGCTTCAGTCATGGTCTGCATGCCGACATAAAACATCTTGTTTTCTAGATTGTGATGGACAAACGATGGGTTTCCGGCTACTTTTCCGGAAAAAAAGATGTCGTCACATATGCGTGGTGTTGTTTATGGCGGCAGAACACAACGGATAGGTTCAGAACCAATTTCAGCTTACAAAAACACTGAATGCAAATAATGTTCCTCGGAATGAATGAACCAACAACAGTTCTCTACTAATCAAGAAATTAACATAAAGGTACAACAACATATGTGCCACGAGTGGGACATTATGGAATGATCCAAATGATATCAAAATGCCTCAAGTGTAATTAATCACTAATCAAACTAGTAGCAATTACAAAAAAGAACCTTCCCTGCATTACACCATGCAATAAAATGATGCTTGTCCATTTCTGTTTGATTCGTGAAAAAAAAAAAACTGCTTGGCTTTACCATGAAAAATGACAAGATGTTTGAACGTTTAGTTTTCGCGAAACTGCCTTTCGCTCATGGGGTCATGTCTCAATGGTAGTTTTGGTATCTTGAACTGCCGAGAGTGCTTTGCATGCTCACAAAAGTTGCTGTGATGGAAAGTTCGACAAAATACTACCTCCATGTGATGTTGTCGGACGCCCAAATGGTGTTCGCTGCTCGAGCTGCAGAAAAAAAACCTAAGTGACTTTTAAGAGTGCTGCTTCTTGGGCGAGTGACTTCCCACTTGGTGTCACAAAAACAAACCCTTATGCTGAAAGTGGCCGAGTTCCATGCCTATGTCCCAGTTTAAGCCAAAAAATCTGCGTGTGTGCTTGTTGCACTTTCGTGCACAGAATCACAAGATCACCTGTAATTTGGGGAAGGCTTGCAATATGCCCCTTCGAGCAGTGCTCTGCTGCTACTAGTGCTGGTGGCTGTGCAATAAAGGTGGGCAATGTTTGGCAAGGCAACTGCTACATCAAAAGGCCCACTCAGGCAAGTGATCAAAGTACACCAATATTGTGTAGACCACTAAAACATGATCTTATTTCAAAATAAGCATTTACTTTGCAAAAAGCTAGCCCCAAGAGGCTTCTGGACTGCTATTTTAACAATGAATGTTGACAATATTTGCTTTTAGTGTCCCTTTCAGATTGAAAATGGTTCTGAACCAAAATTTGTTGGACGAGTCTTGAGCCGTGGTCACATTGTGAACGAACTCACGAATAACGAAAATTGCAGCTTTTACTCTGCTACTCTGTGAAATAAGGGTTTATCTATTCATCAAGAAAATGAAAATGCATTGGTGTAATAGAAATTTGTTAATTGTTTTCTTAATACTTTTGATAATTCAGCATTCAATTATTATGGACATTCTTTCCAGTCCCTAGAAATCCTAACTAATG